ATAAACAAAATGTATTTCTTTAACTCCAAATGCACATGTACAATAGTTTCTTTTTCTTTTCTTTTCTTTCTTTTTTCGTATTTTAGTCCAGGCTATTGAGTGGCTGTCATGTAGAAGAGAAAAAAGTCTTTAATTTTACTCATGAGAATTACTGAGTAGAACAAGTTATTCCTTTAAAAAGAGTAAATATAATGAGGAGCTGACACTTTCATACAAATAATGTCTATGAAAGCACAGCTTTCACTTTACCTTAGAACAGTTAAATAAGTCTTGAAACCATTTAAATATTTCACTACTAATTCATACACAGAAACAATGTAACAAGACACAGCATTAGCAGGAGAATTGAGAGTTTCTTTGAAGGTAGATTTAGAATTTGTATGAGTACATTCATCTCTACAGTTCTCATTTCTCTCATGCATAGAACAACATTATCTACAAGGCTGGCTCATTCTAACTTTCTTTCTGCTGCACAATTAAATGATTGTAATGGTCTAGAAAATTATCATACGTATGACTATATGTCAAGTTATTTAATCTCATCTTGTCTGCTTTAGCCAAATGAGCAATCAAGCCTTGTGTGTGTTCAGCAGAGTTCAGTTACACCTATGACTATTGTGCAGATTTAAAATTCTTATTCATATTTCTGTATAACAATAGTTTTATTTATCTTTTATTATTTACAATTTTTTGCACATTAAAATAGAAATTAAATATAAATTTATTTATTTATTTAATTATTATTTGAAACATTATCTTCTTCAAAGTAAATATGTGTCTTGTAAAAATTCCTTTGGTACTCTTTAGCCCAGAAACTAGTGTTAGTTCTGACCACAATTTAGAAGGAAGGAGCTATTTGGGGACGTACTCAGCACATGCAAGCATGCTGTCATGCGTATATTTAGCCCTGTAACATGATCTAATCCTACAAGAATGGAGTGGTGATTGTGGACTAAGAGCTACAATCAGTGTGAGAATGGGAATGAACAGTTCATTTCTGAGGAACTTTGAGATGGAGTCTTAAATAATGAAGGGGATTTTTGGATAGCTGGGTTTTTTTCTGTATGAATTATGCCAATATTGCAATTAACTATATGGGACCTTCACTTAGAACACTAAACTCACTATACGAAGCAAAGAAAATATTTTTAAAATTTTAAAAATCTTTAAAAGCTACCTTATCTGCTATTTTAAAGTAACTAATTATTCTGCCTACCTTAGGCACATCATTAGTTACCTGATAAGATACGGAAGACAGTTGTTTGGCTCGAACTGTTTGGGGGGCACCCAGGCAGGGGATCGGGATCTGTCCCTGGGTCTATGGGCAGGCTTCTGGAACCCGGGGCCTGTGGTGTGACACCTTGCACAGTCTTGGTGCAGTGGAAAGGGGCTTGGACCTGCCTAGGCTCAGTGTGCTGGGCTCTGCTGACTCCCCATGGGAGACCTCGATTTGGGGGATGTGGGGATGTGGGGTGGCTTGGGAAAGAGGGCTGGGGGTGGGAGGAGGGAGGAGGGGGGGATCTGTGGAAGTATGTGGAGTGAGTAGAAAATTTCTTAATAAAGAGAAATGAAAGAAAAAAAAAGAACTTAGAGTCTCAGTGACCCTAGCTTGCTTCCAAGCAGCTTGGCCCACCATGTTAGGCATTTTTCTGACACTGTAGTAAACATCTGTAATAATCAATTTATTAAAGAGAAAAGATATATTTTAGCTCATAAAAACAAAGAATTGTTGTATGTTCATAATGCCTTTAGTTTCAGAAATAATTGGGAAATTCCAGTTCTTAGTGTTATCAGTGTGATTATCATCTGATTTTGACTGCTACTCCCAGTATTCCTGGATTTCACGTCCGTCGTTCCAAGCAATTAAAGATTTAAAAAGCTTGAAAATTTGCAACTGTATTGAACACAGAGATTTTTATTCTCATCATTTTATCAACAATAGAGATTTACAACAGTTTACATCACAATTACGTTACAGTTGGAATTATATATCATCTAGTGGTTTAAAGCACAGAGGTAAGTATGCATAGGCTATGAGCTGATATTATATCCTATTATATCACAGACCTGAGTATATGAGTTTTGTGCTTTCAAGAGACTCCGTGAATCAACCTAGTTTGTTGCCAGTGGATAAGAAAAGTTTGTTATTACTCTGAATGTACATTTACCCTCTGGCACAGCCTAAAAGTCACCTTTGTCCTCCAAATGTGTGACACAGTTTTGATTATTCTATAACAGAGAAATACAATGGAATGTTTTAATCTGACCAGTAGTGCTTCCCTAGTGCTATCATTTTTTCATGGTCTGTGACACATGGAATCATATAATTCTGGAATCTTATGTATGCATGTGCTATGATGGAGATGAAACTCATGGCCTTGCACATACTAGACATATGCTCTACCTATAAGCTGTATCCTGTTCCAAAACTCTTATAAAATTTTCTTGTTTTCTAAAGGTTGCTATTTCATTTCATTGAAAACACTCCATGAATAATTTTTATTTTGTTACAGGAATCATAGACAATATATAATGTCTTTAAAGTTTTAATTGATATTCAAAAATGAAGCATTCTTTGCTCAGTTTCAAACTTCTGCAGTTTTTTCGCCCCAGCAGTACCACTTTCCCTGACCCAAGTACAGTACTAAGTGGGGAGGACTGACGCTCCTGCTCAAGTTGTTGGTTTCCTCTCACATTCCCACAGCTGGGAATTTTCAAGTCAGTGAAACTAGATACACGTGTTTGCTGTGGTGGGGTGAGACCCTGTGAAGCTGTCTCCTGTGCCTGAGAACACTTGGCTCCCAATATTCACTTCTGCTGCTTGTGGCTACAGATCCAGGGCTAGATTATAGTTTGTGGTAGGCCTGAGAACCCACAGGCCTAGTTTTAATATCATCACTGCAAAAGTAAATGAAAAAAAAAAAAGTCTGTGAAGGAATATTGGCACATTACTGTGCTTGATTTTTGTGTTTATTGGCTTCGTTTTCAGCTTCCATGACCTGTGGTCGAAAGCACACTAGCACAGTAAAGAAGAGTCATGGCACTTTATGCAAGAGGAAGGCCAGTGCCTAACCACCTCTCGATGAAGCCTTGTTTACTACAGTCTACTCTTTTTGTATCATACGTGGTAGGCAGTTGTTCAGACAACTGCAGAAATCAGATACATTAAGATGTGCCAGGCACAATAAATACTTGCTGCCACATAGAGTTAAATTTAGATGCCTCTGTATCTCTTCCTCCAGGCTCAGAAATCATGTAAAAGCATATAGAAATATTTCAATGGAAAAAATTGTCTCATACAAAAGACAAGATCTATTTTTTAAATTTACTTTTCTGTTAAAATAATTTCATACAGTACATTTTGATTGCATTGTGTTTTTTCTCTCCCAAGTCCTCCCAACCCTCTACCCACTCAGTTTCAGGACCTCTCTCTCCCTACCCCTTCTCAAAAATCAAAACAAACAAAGACAATAAAACAATAAAAATCAAAACAAAATAAACCACACCAGAAAAAAAACATAAATAAAAGGAGTCCGCTTTCTGTTGGTGCATTGGTCCTGGGCCCTGGACCTGCACTGGAGTGAGGCAGGCACACTCAGGGACATGACTGTGGAGAAAACTGAGTTGCTTTTGCTAAGAGGTATTAATTGCAAATAGCTTCTTGGTTAGGGTTAGGTTATTTTTTAAATATACCTTCAAAGAATTATTTCTTTCATGTGAAATTTATCTTACCCATGGATATGATGAAAAATTAAAATGATACATGAAAAACTTTAAGTGTGGAGAAGAAGGTAAGCACTACAGGAAAAGTGAATATCAAGTAGTTGTAGGTGGAATTAAAAATCTACATAGGCCTGGCAGTGTTGGCACACGCCTTTAATCCCAGCACTCGGGAGGCAGAGCCAAGTGGATCTCTGTGAGTTCAAGGCCAGCCTGGTCTACAAAGCAAGATCCAGGACAGGCACCAAAACTACACAGAGAAACCTTGTCTCAAAAACACCAAAAAAAATCAACATAGTGGTGTCAGGGTACTCTAATCCATATTCATAAGTATTATTTCAATAAAATTTTTAGGTTTTGAGTTATCATAATTTTGCTTACGTTAAAATTATGATATTCCGATAAATCAAGATAACTGTCTGCCATACACCGATACAAGAAAAGAAACCGAGGGTATGACTTGTGATATCTGTACTTTTAGTTTTCATTTCTCAAAAAAAATGTTCTTAAACTCAAGAGAGATTCAAGAAACATCTCCAAAAGGTCCCAAATGACAACCTAAAACAGCCACTAACTTTTCACTATGAGTTCTTATTTTCTATGTTAAGAATCATGTGCATTTGGGGTCTCTCTATATGATGCTTCAAGAGGTAAGTGGATGTGGATGCCCAAATGTTTCACAGTGTGGGCCATAAACTAACAGTACATGTTGCAGATAAGGGTGACTGTAATAGCTACAGTACCACTGCTGGTTCCTCATACCTACCTCTGTGCATCCAGATCCAATGACATGAGACATGCCCATGTCACCTCCCATACATACATTAGGGCTCCTTGGAGTTATTTAGAGTTTTTAAGACTCTTCATTCATTTGGATAAAGGAAATTTTAGCTATGTACAAAGGTATTATAGGCTGTTGAGGAGAACAGCATGTCTCAGTCAGGTTAGACTTGTATTTGAGCAGTTCTGGAAATAAAGTTATTTATGGTTTTCTTCTTTAACCATTTATTAAAATAGAGATACAAAGAGTCATCTTAGGAGGCCAAGAGCTATTTAGAGTCTGAAATTTTGGGTTACATCTTTGTGTTGCCAATCCAGATATATAAACATCTCAAATCATGTTTAAATATAAAATATAATTTTCTCTATTAGTACACATTCTTTCCCTTAGAAGTTACACAAATGGAGGTGTCAAAATTTATACACGATAAATTAGTAGGTTTTAATATTCATACAAATTCGGTGTTTCAGTTAATAACGTTTGCTTCATTTTGTTTCAGGAGCAGGTGAATCTGGAAAAAGTACTATTGTTAAACAAATGAAGTAGGTACAGAACTATTCCAAATGTTTACTATTTGATGTTTATCTATGTGTTGAACTATTCTGTGTTAATTATTTATTTTAGTTTTTATTATAATATTATTATGTCATTTTATCTTTTCCTTTTCTCCCTACAAATCCTCCCACAGTTGCCTCTTGGTCTTTTCCATATTCATTGTTACTTTTTTTTCATTAATTTTTGTTACATATTTATAAGTACAATCTGCTCATAAAGTCTCATCAACATGACTGACTAATCATGGTGAAATAAGACTACACTAATGCACATGCTAATGAGGACAGTGGAAGCCCAGGAGGCTTCAGCCCTACCCAGAGAACTACAGGCAAGTAAGGAACATGGACGGCTGGAGAAATAGTCTTCTCCAGATAAGAGCACACATCCACCATCAAATGGCCAGCCCTGAACACCAGCATACAAGTATTATTATACAGGCTGATAAAATCTTTCAAAAATGCTTTGTGAGTCTCTTTTCAGAATTCAAGTAACCTCTTCAGAATTTGCAGGTAATGGCAAAGTTATCCTGACTTTTATGAGTGTTCAAATATTACTTGTATTGTTTAACAAAGACTGCAATTTCTATTTTTCCTTTGAATGGTGCATTTCAGAAATATTAATGCTAGTAGCTATGTTTTATTTATATTAACTCTCAAATTAACTAACTTATTAACAATGAGGGTATAAGCCAAAAACATTTGAAATATGTCAATCAAGAATCCATTTGAAATTAAGAAGGAATAACATTTTAACATTATATTTTTCTATATGGATATAAGTATTTGTTCATTTATATCACTCAAACAGATTCTGATGTGTTATTACATTTTTTAAATTTATTCTTTATAATGGGATAACTGCCTAAATTTCTGAATGAAGAAGTATAAACACAACTGCCGTGAATAAAAACTGCAATGATAAATTAATAAAATGAAGTTAGAGATCAGTGATGAATTGCTCTTTTTCTCTTTGATATTGTAATGCCATGTAATTTGCTTATCAACTGTTACTTAAGCTCCAGTTTGGAAATCTCACCTATAGGTGCCAGTAAATATTTGTGCTGTCTCCAAAACACGGTTTTATAACCAGCTTTTGGTCCATCCTAAGAACAGAGTTATGTCTCATGCATTTACATCATTATTGTTTTCTACTACCCTATTATTTAGGACATAATCACACTTGAAGTTATCTTATACTTTTACATATCTATTACTTATATGGATTAAGTATAGTTTTTTTAATGAATAGCTATTTTGCTATATTAAAAAGAAAGCTTTTAAATATTAAATCATGTATAAAATCAGACAAAAAATAGAAAACTGGAAACAAGGCCAATAATGAATATTATAGATATATGTTAACTACCATAACATATAAAGAGATATAGGAATTATGTAAAAACAGTAATCTGACCAATATATGTAAATAAAGGAGAACCAATGAATAGTCTGGGAAAGAGAATTCAACTATCTGTTACAAAGAAGATAAATTGTACAATTCATTTAAACTTTACTACCTATAAAATAAAGTTTAAATCAATAATTGGGCATTTTTTGTCATGAGAAATTATGAAAATATAATTTCAACTTATTCCTATAAGCCTTACATTCAGGAAGTTGATGCAGGAGAATCACAGCAAGTTTGAGGCTAGTCAGTGTTACATATAGTGAGTACCATAACAACCAGAGCTATGATGTAAGACTGTCTCAAAAAGCAAAACTATAGTATTAATCTAAAATTATTATGAGTGAAGATTACAAAAATGAATATTTCTTACCACTATTTTTAGATACATTTGGCAAAAAAAAAAAAACAAGTAGATATAATCTTTTCTAAATAGACCACAAATGTAGGCCTGGAGAGATGGTTTGGCTGTTAAGTGTACTTGCTGCCTTTGTATAGGATGGAGGTTAGGTTCCCAGCACCCATATGGCAACTTAAAACCATCCGCAACTCCAGCTGCAGGGTGTCTGGTACCCTCTTCCGGTCTCTTAAAGCAACAGGCACATGCAGAAAGTTCAGGCAAAAGATTCATACATAAAAAAATGAAACTATTGTAAAGGGTGATGTATCTCTGATTTCCTTCTCAGCTTCTTTGTCCATTGTATATAGGAGGGCTACTGATTTTTTTGAGTTGATCTTGTATCCTGCTATGTTGCTGAAGGTGTTTATAAGCTGTATCAGTTCCTTGGTGGAATCTTTGGGGTCACTCAAGTATACTATCATGTCATCTGCAAATAGGGAAAGCTTCACTTCTTCCTTTCCAATTTGTATCCCCTTAATCTCCTTATGTTGTCTTATTGCTCTGGCTAGAACTTCAAGTACTATATTGAATAAGTATGGGGAGAGCGGACAGCCTTGCCTCGTTCCAGGAAAGGCACCAAAGCTACACAGAGAAACCCTGCCTCCAAAAACCAAAAAAAAAAAAAAAGAAAAGAAAAGAAAGAAAGTGCAAGCAATCAATTTGCAAACTGTTTAAATTATTCCTCATTCACTTGTGTTACTATGAAGTCACTGCATATGTATATGACAATGTTTGACCAACACCAGGTCTTAGTACATGCCCAAAGCTCAATAACAGTGTGCCTCCATTCACTTGCACTGCTTCTTGTGTCTATAAAGTCCCCCTTCCTTTTGACCACCTAGAAAGACCTCATTATGTAAAAATAATCAGCTTATTATTTCTACTATTCTTTGTCTTTTTTTATATCTACCCATAACAGAACTTAGCACAATTTTCCTGTTTCTTTCCATACACAGATGTGACTAGGACCTTTTATAAAGCATAACAATCTGTTAAAATGATAATTCTTTCTACAATTTGGTCCTTCCATTAGAAATTTTATCATCATGGAAAGGTTTCATGGATATGCTCTCTGAATCATGTGTGACTTTAGTGGCCATTTAAGGATTTAAAATGCAGTTTTCTGTAACATGACTGGTGATTGCAGTGTGCAGGAGATGTTGCGTAGACTGGAATTCCACTATAGACCTAATGGGAGGAGAGTCAGGTGTGATTCATTCATTTATTTCAGTATATAATGAAAAACGAAAATGTCCAATAAAATCTTGCTACTTTGAAAAGAGCCAAGAGCCAACTTAGAGCTAGACACCTCTTTCCAGAAGAAATGAAATTAAGTGGCTGCTTCTATGATACTTTCCCTCATAGTTTGATGAGTCATCAGAACTTACGTTACTGAACGAACCCAAATGCCCCACATTTACTCACAATTACCATTTTAAATTTAACAATTAAAGTCATTTTTTTTCTGTTTTAATTTTGGACAGAGGACTGAGATTTATTCAACAGTCTTACTTTGATCTATTTATAAATATACCTTTCTGCATTTTTATGGTCTATGTCACCATCAATTTTTTGTTTTTGTTGGTTTTGGTTATTCAAGTGATTTAACAGGTTAATGCAGCAAGATAAACATGGCCCTGTTGAATATAAAAATGAGCATTTGTTGGTAATCAAATGTAAAGACAAGATTAAAACAATAGAGGCTTCTTCACTCCTCTCAGTGCCTGTTCCTTTCATTTGATGGTTCTTCAAAGGCATTGAAGAGGTGTTTGTGCTGAGTTTGACCCCTAAGCTGCAGCTTCCATGTGTACAGACACAAGATAAATCTTGAGAAAAGCGACACTCAAAATCAAACACAAAGCAATTTAAAAACAATATAAAGAAAAGAATGACAGAAAGAAATGAAAATTTAGGCCGGGCAGTGGTGGCGCATGCCTCTAATCCCAGCACTGGGGAGGCAGAGACAAGTAGAGCTCTGAGTTTGAGGCTAGCCTGGGCTACAGAGCCAGTTCCAGGAAAGGCTCCAAAGCTAAATAAGAAAGAAATGAAAATTTATCACACAGTAAAGATGCAAAGACACACAATTAGCATCAGCACAGATTTTAACTTTAATGGGAAAATCTATTTTAAGCTATTATTCTTAAACTCTCTGTCAAACCCTGATTTGTGAGTGAATGAGTGGAAGGAAGAGAGCAGCCCAGCCCAATCTGGGATACTCAGCTCTGAGAACCCAGAAGCACGTACACACACAGGGGAAAGGCAAGGCATCCAGCAGAAAGCAATTACTTGCAATTAAAAGAAAATGCCTTTGTTAATGCTGTAAATAGAACGCAGGCACTCCTACTTCCCAGTGTTTCTTAAGAGATAGGAAAAGACAGGACTGTTCTGCTGAGTGACTTCACATCCTCTAGACATCACGGTGTAAACACGACACAGGGTTCAGGTCTTTGTGCACATAGCTGACCTAGCAATCAGGGAATTTTCTTCTTGAAAAAAAGAATCTGGGGTCTAAATAAAGTGTTTGTGATTCACATATTTGAAAAAGTATTTTATCTAGAATAAGTCTTAAATTCTTCTTATATTCAGCATGTGTTCTCCCCATGACCCAAAGAGCATTGTATGAAAAGACAATGAATAGTAATTTCAGAACTATTAAATTGTCCAGACTCAGCACACACACATTATCAAAATCCTTCCTCTTTAAGGTGTATATACTGTGCTTTTATTGAAGCAACTTATTATTGATGGTCATTTGTGCTACACCAGTTCAACTCACAAAGCCCTTTCATGTTTAATTGTAGGATCATCCATAAGAATGGTTATAGTAAACAAGAATGCATGGAATTTAAAGCAGTGATCTACAGTAACACACTGCAGTCAATCTTAGCCATTGTGAAAGCTATGACTACACTTGGGATTGAGTATGTGAATCCCAGAAGTGGAGTAAGTATGCCCATGTCATAATTATATGACCCAGGTGGAATTTGAGCCAAGGAATCATAGGATTGTGTTTCTTGTCCTATTCTATGTCAAAAGAACATAATATAATTATTTTGTAAATATTAACTATCTCCAACTTAAATTTTCCCATTTTTCTCTGAATGAAACCTCTTTTCCATTGTTCACTATAATTTTATTAAGCAGTAATTGTTTTTTAGGATTTAAACCTAATATTAAATGTACGAACATAAGAAAGAAACATAGCTGTACTATGGTTTATAATATAGCATCCAGACGATTTTTTTCTGCATTTTAATTAATAATAATTTCACACATTATGATGTTTTAAAAATCTACTTACTTTTAAAATAGATAATATGCAAAAACTATTAATATGCAAATTATGAGTATATTATTGTCTAAAAGTGACCCCGCACACAAAATAAAAGCATTAAAAAACATTCTCTATTTCCACAAGGCCCCTCCTCAGCTGGTCACCTCCAGAGGGCGTTAACTGAGCAGTCCCCTGTGGAATCAGTGTACAGGAGCAATAAGCGCAGGAAGAACCATATGCAAGATTAGTGTGAAACACAAAAGTGCATTCCTCTTCTCCTTCCCTCCCCAGACATCCAGTATGGGGGTGACCATCTAGATGAGCAGTGGAAGTTATCAAGATGAGAAGGAAAATGGCCATCTCTACACTGTTTATTTTACAGGAAAGGGTAAATCCCCTTTCTTCCCATCAGTTTTCTCAGAGAGGGATGAGGGAGGGGGAAGAGAGAAAGGGAGTGGAGAAATACTTTAGGGCAAATCCTTTGCAAAGTCTGCTGTCTATGTTCTAAAATCTTACTTTTCTAGCTTTCCCCACAGTTTGGCTCCGGTCAAGTTTTCCACTTCTCTGGCTCCACTTTCCTTCACAAGTGTAAAAGGGACACTTGGAGAGGAACTTCAAGACCCCCCCCCATCTTTATCATTTGATGATTTATTGAACCTATTCTATTTATAGCTATTCTGCTACCTCTGACTCTGGCTTTTCTTAAGCACATAGAATTTTACAACAACGGCTTTTAAGAAATGGACTACTATAATCCTTTAATTTAAAGGTGAGGGGAAAAAAAATAGACTGAAAGAGAGTAGTTGGTTAACTTCAAACAGCTGAAGTCTAGGACCGAACATGTTGCCCGGTTTCCTTTATGGTGCTTCGTCCTTTGTGAAGATTGTTTTCAATGATTTCCATGGCAATGATTATTTTACTTTTTCTTCCCAGGCAATAATAGTTACTAAAGTGTGTGTGCCTTCAGCATTCTTTGACAATAATGTAAAGATCTTGAAATTTGTATATGAAATAGTCCATGTATTTTGTCAAGGAAGTAGAAAAATCACAAAATTTCATATTGCTTCTCTGGTGGTTTGAAAGAAAATGCCTCCCATAACGCCATATGGAATGGCTAATAGGAGATGCGGCCTTGGAAGAGGTGTGTCACTAGTGGGCAGGCTTTGAGGTCTCAGATGCTCAAGTGAGGACCAGTGTGGCAGTCTCTTCCTGTTGCCTGTGGCTCAGTATGTAGAGCTCTCAGCTCCTTATGCAGCACCATGTCTGCCTGCGCACCCTCCCTGTCCCACTGTGGCAATAATGGACCAAGTCTCTGAACCGTAAGCCAGCCCCTGTTAAATGGTTTCCTTTGTAAGAGTTGTTGTGGTCATTGTGTCTCTTCACAGCAATAGAAACCCCAAGACAGTATTTTTAAAAAAAAAAAAACTGTGCTGCAACATAGCCCAGGCTTTATAAATGGGAGATGCTGCCAGGCGGTGGTGGTACACGTGCTGGGCGGTGGTGGCACACGCCTTTAATCCCAGCACTCGGGAGGCAGAGACAGGCAGATCTTTGTGAGTTCGAGGTCAGCCTGGTATACGGCACGAGATCCAGGAAAGGCGCAAAGCTACACAGAGAAACCCTGTCTTGAGAAACCAAAATAATAATAATAGTAATAATAATAATAGTAATAATAATAAACGGGAGATGCCATCCAGTCCTGTTGGTTGAGCCTTGGGTGAGGTGAAAACAATAGACTGAAAACAGTACTACCATTATGACAGAGTTTTTAAAACTGAAATTCATTCAGTGGCATAAACTGAAGTAGCTCATAAAGTTGCTATGACGCCTCAGGAGCATCTGTGTCCTGTGTCCCAGAATATCTGAATACCATAGTTTCCTAGGACTACACGGATCATATTTTTCTTTCAACTGAAGTTGTGCTTTCAATCATATTCACTTAGTACTTTATTGTGAGATGTACATGTTGCACCTGGTTTAAATTGTTTATTCAACCTCTTAATTTCTAAGCATTATGTTTGTGTGGCTTTCAGATTTCTGATGAGGTGGATTTTTTGTTTATCCAAGTTTATACATTTTCACATAATCATTCGTTTGCACACCATCACACAGATTGCCATTCAAGGACAGAAACTCAGTGTAAGTTGCATTAGTCCCTGAATCTCTCAGTTTAAGTAAACCCACTGAACCTCTCTGTTTTAATTTCTTCATACACAAAATGTTAGTGTTTCCCAATAAAATTATAAAAATTATCAAAGCAGGAAGAAAAATATAAATAGCCCCTTTAAATCCAGAATATTGTAGAATATAAGGTCCAGGTAAATATCAACTATTTTTATTTTTTGACAGTCAGTTTAAATACAGACTAATTAAAATTTATGTATTGAAATGCACTCACCAAAGATCATTTGAAAAAATATTTTATTATTTTATGCGACAGACATTTGGATTGCTTCTGGAGATGCATTAGGCACTCATAAACAGTTGAAATAGAAAAATCCATCTGTATTCAGAAAGGAAAGCTTGATGTTGAGCAAATCTTTATAAAGCATTTAGTAGTCAAAGAGGTTATCACAGCTGGATGTGAATGTCTAAATCCTTATTCATTGAAAACGTGATTGAAACAGATTGGATTTGGAAATGTCCTGTGTATACACTCTATAAGATGTTTACACATATAAGCAATTGAAAACATGCCTTTAAAGCACAAAGGGGTATTCCATCTACGGATATAAATTTAGGTGGTCTGGGCATACTGTACAGACTATTGTAATTAACATAAAGGAACTTAAAGGGATAGCAGATGAGAAGAAGTAATCAAGTGCTTAGACTAAGAAAGATTTTTAGGAAGTAACTATGTGTATCATTTTAATGTGACATTTTCTAGGCGCTGCATAGGTATATGAAACCAGGAAAGCCTAATGACCTCAGTTTGATGTATGAAATACATATAAAGAGAGGAGACAACTAACTCCACAAATTGTGCTTTGACTTCCACATGTACACTATGACATGCCTGTACCTACCCACACATCACACACACACACACACACACACACATACACACATACACACACACACACACACACACACACACACACACACACACACACACGAAAGTATAATAATAAGGATGGTGGTGGTGATGAGGATTATGATACTTAAAAAGAAAAGGAAAAACCTTTGCTCAAATATTCTGCAATTCAATTCATGTGAGAAAATAAGTTTGAAATACTTGTACTCTATAAGAATTCAAGAATTCTCAACAGCTGCAGTATTCAAAGACTTAAGTCCAATAACAACCAACTTTGACATTTCCATTGAGCATTCCTCAATCATGTAGACTAACCATCCATTCCTTGCTCTGATATGCTCTTTTCTCTCTTCTTTGGAACTATGACTGCAGAGTTCAGAATGAATTCAACAAGATTCTAAGACTGCCTAAGGCACATATTATTGATGAGCAATCACTGCATAACCTGCAGAGAAATACTTCCTCATTTCTCTACAGTGTAGCTCTAGAGTAGTGGTTCTCAATCCTCCTAATACTATAACCCTTTAATATAGTTCTATATGTTGTGATGACCCCCAACCATAAAATTATTTTCATTCTTACTTCATGAGTATAGTTTTGCTACTGCTATGAATTGTAATGTGTAATGAATCAAAATCTGGAAAATATCTGTGTTTTTCAAAGGTTGCCTTTCACAGGCGACCCCCTATGAAAGAGTAGTTTGACCCCCCCCAAAGGGTCGAACCCACAAGTTGAAAACCACTACTCTAGAGACTCACAATCCTGAGATAATAAGTTTTTCCAGAACCATCACAATTCTCAAGTATTCTGAAATATGTCATAGGAAAATTAAATCTTTAAAATGCCATTAAAACCCTAAGAGTAATATTTGAAATAAAAATGGCAGACTGTTGGAGACCCCTTGGTTTCTCGAGAATCAGCTTATCTATTATTTTGGTTCACTCAATCAACAAAATTTTAGCAACATGTATGTTGATCATTGGAGTATACAAATAAACAAAACAACAAATATCTTTGCCTATATATATACACTAAAAAATTAATAAAGAAAGAAGAGGAAAGGAATTACAATAAATACCATGAATAAGATAAAATGGGAAAGAGTTAGTATGAGAATATTAGAAGAATAGAAAGGTGGAGAAAGGTTCCTTGTGAAAATAGTCACTGAAATACATCTGCATGGAATAAGATGTACACATCAACCCTCAAAATGGGCTTGGGAGTTTACAGTGTAGCAGGAGTCCAGTACTTGAGGCTTGAGGAGCAAGTGCAGAGAGAAACAGTGACTATGGGAAAGGAAGAATGGAAAGAAAGGCATAGGTGTAGGATGGAAAGCTTGGGAGTCACAGTAAAAGAGTGGGCTTTTGAATGTGGAGAGAATTGCTTGAGCATTTAAAACAGAAGAGTAAGATAACCCATGGAATTTCAATTTTCCGTCAATTGACTACTGTGTGGAGATAGCTTTGAAAATAACTATGTAAACTATGGACAAGGCCTCATTGTGTGACTCTGGTTGGCCTGGAACTCATTTTGTAGAACAGGCTGTCCTTGAACTCACAGATCTCTGCCTGTATCTGCCTACCAAGTGCTGGGATTATACATGCTTGGCTATATACAGATTTTAGGTGTTACATTTTCTTAAAATTTAAAATATAATTGGTGAGTTCACATTCTTAAAAATGAACTTTAATTCTTAAAATTATTTATGTTTCCACTATCGTACAAGAGTATCAAGAATTGAAATGTTCTGCATTCAATGAAATGTAGTTATGTAGAAAAAAAACATACTAACTTATCTGTTACACAGGATTTTGGAGAACTGTAGCAGTAGAACACAGCTACAGGTGTAACCTTGACTGAAAGACAGGCTCCTCAGTGGTCATGGTCTTCTGCTTCCAGAGTAAGCAGTGCCAAAGGGAAGCTCAGGCCTCTGTGAAAGAAGGTGGTGTCTACCTAGACAGCCAGGCCAGGCTAATCAGCCTGTAGTGAAGGATTCTTGACTTAGTCTGTACAATTGAGCTGCCTGAAAGATTAAACACACAGAGACACACAAACACACATAGACACACACAGACACACACATACACACACAGTCACATCACAGACACACACACCCATGAGTACACTCACACACAGAGACACGCACATGTGATACACAGACACACATGCATACACACACACACACACACACACACACACACACACACACACACACACACTCATTTGTTTTGCCTGGTGTTGTTGTGCTAGGAATACATTTACTGTTATTCCACATGCTTAAACTAAGTAGCCTGAATTAAAAATCACCAGGGGCTCTACCCACGTGTGTGTGACAGAAACTCAGAAGTAAAGGCATAATCAACCAAATCAGACTGATGTTCTGCAAGAAAATACTACGACTGAGGAACTGGTTGAAAGGGCTTTGGTGACATTTAAACGTTTTAAGGGAAAATATACTCATATTACCAACATAAATAGACTCTACTTTAGCTTACAGTAGAATAATGCAGAGCAAGGAAGAGCATATTAGTTTGGTTTCTAAAGGATTGCTCAGAAAGCAAATGATGTTTTCTTTTAGGAATGGACCCTGGGAACAGCTACCTCATGGCACCATTTGTTCCAAGGCACATTAACAGTGGAAGAAAGTGCCTACCAAATGGTCAGCCCTGAAAACATATATATAAGTAACAATATAAAGGCTGAGCAGATACCATTGAATGAAAGAGAGCAGGGAGGGGCTTGTGGGAGGAAAGGGAAGGGACACATTATGCAATTATATTATAATATCAAAAATCAATGAGAAATTAACTGAAGGGTTCATAAGTCACTGGATTTGCAGTTTTCTAACAGGGAGGAGGAATTTTAAAATATATCCTCCATTAATTCTAGAAAATAAGGTCAAGTCTTGCATTTTGGCCATTTAACAACCATCTGAGCATCCTGCTTGTAATAATAAAACCCAATCAGAAAGATGGAAAAGGTTCCCTTTTAGTTTTAACAGTCTATAATAACAAAAGTCATGTTATTAATATCTTAGGCAAAGAAAACATTTTTAATATAACACAGAATAAACTAGAGTTGGTTGAAAATGAATGGGTCACGTCACCAACCCCGAATTCTTCCCAGACAGACTTCCCTCGCTCACAGCTAGCGTTTTTGGGTCCCGTGCTGCCGCCTGTTGTATTTACTGCGTTGTCCAAAGGAGAGCTGAGAGGGCTGCACTGTACAGTAAGCGGGCCCACTGGAGTGTTTGCTGGCTGTTGTGAGGATGGTGACACTATGTGCCACACTGTGATTATCATTGTGATAGCAGCAGAACCTGAGATTTGGATACTGACACTGCGATCCGAGGGCAGATTTTACTGTTTACCAATTACCAATCAATTACCAAAAGTTATTTGATTGTCTTGAGACTCAAATCCCTAACCTTAATTTTTTCGAAAAAAGTTTTGATTACTAGTATAAATTATGGCCTACTATAAATTGTTTAAACTGTATTTATTTAGCAAATTCCTTTCCTTTCTCATTACTTGTCTACCCTACTGCACACTGACACAATACTTACTCTGTTTTTGTTTCTTAGCCACTTCTCACCTCTGCCCAATGGCAACTTTACTACAAAGGTACACAATTGACACAACCCAGCAGAGAGCCTTAACACGTTTGTGGGTCTAAGTGTGTAATCGTTTGCCAGAATGATCACAAAGAAATATCTCGTGATAAATAATAGTTTACAACAGTCTCATTTTTCTTTTACTCTAGCATTTTGCCTCAAGCCACTATGGACTAGACCAAAGCACTGTTACTCTTTTTGACCAAATACTCAGATGTCAATGATGCATACCAAAGATTCCAATTTCTCCATGTAGTATTTTATAATTTTTCCAAAGACTGACTTTTCCAGATCTTGCCCTGTTACTATAGTGGATTCTAGTTTTATTGCTCTTAATAGATTTTGAAAAAAAAAATGTTCAGTGGAATTATTGGCAAAAAAAAAAAACCCTGGATAATGAAAAACCTTTTACAACACTCCATTTAAACAATATCTGAGCCTAAATAACATGCCTTTGTTCTCCCCACGCCTTTGTCTTCCAGGAAGACAAACAACAACTCCACACAATGGCAAACACACTGGAAGACGGTGACATGACGCCCCAGCTGGCTGAGGTGATTAAGCGACTGTGGAGAGACCCAGGAATTCAGGCCTGCTTTGAAAGGGCATCAGAATACCAGCTCAATGACTCTGCGGCTTAGTAAGTGACTTTCTTGGACAGGAATTTCAGATGATGCATAAGTTTGTAACACATGTGCATGTAAGCACAAGTAAGGAAAAATGGTTTTGCATTTTTTTATTGAAAACTGAGAGGCAACTGAAAAGACGTAAAACAATTTGCCTGAGAAGAAGCAATTGTTACACGTATCTTCTCTTAATTAAAAAGAATTAACCATGACACACAGTGCTTAGCACCAACGCAGACAGATGGTGTGCACACTGACATTTGGGGCTATTTCATATATTTCAATGTTATTTAAATCATCTCCTAGAATAAAGTTTTATTAGTGATATATGCATTAGCTCACTAAGTTATTGAGCAAGATACAAAATTCTGGAAGACGATAGTTGATTGGTTTCCAGACTTTAGCATATTGTGACATCCTGTTGAAGTCAATCACAACAAATATTGGAAAGTAAGTATTTAATAATAATAAAGAACTTAGGAGGACATTAAACTGCTTGTAATGTAATTGTTACCATGACCTAAAACTTTCTTATATCAAGTGCTTCTTAAGTTATCCTGGAAACTCCCAGAAGAGTAAAGAGCCAGAGTGTTGTGTTTGACCAGTCAATCCCGCAGTTCTCGTAAAAGAAGAGAGGAAAGGCCTTAGCTAACTAAGGCCTCATGCTTCACTAATTGGGGCCCTCTAGTGTGCTATTTAAATTCCACAAGAGTTAAGAGCAAACATGGACTCAGCAGGGAAAGCACTGTCTTTTCAGGATTGGAAGTAAATCACCAAGGTATTTTAAATGATTTGAGTCATAAGGTCTAAAAACGTCTGTTTGGTTTATAAACTACAGGCTTTGACATCCAAATCCTATATTTGCTTATTAAAGTCAGCACTTTAAAAGAAAATCAATTTGCTAATGCCTCTTCTTTGCCTGAAATAATTTACAAATGCAAAGAAAATTCTTTAAAATGTATCTTTACTGAAGCTTTCATTAAATGGATTTTATTTCTATTTCTGTAAGTATATGCTTTTTATTCTTTTACTTGGGCATGAAATGACTTAATATCATGCATCTACCACATATCAGATTTCATTCATAGGAAATCCACAGTATTTCAAGTAAGAGAAAAAAATTTAAAACTGTAAAGTCCTCTATACTTTCTTTGATTGCTTTATATCTCAATTCATCACCCATTTATAGTCAAATGGTCTTTATTAGCATAAATAATGATACATTTTCACATTTTAGTATTTCTGAGACACAATTTTCCTTTTCTTCTTGAGCAAAATCCCTTTAGGTATATTGTTCTTTTTCAACTTAAAAGTAAATGGTTTTTCCAAATTTGCCAAATACCTACTCGATCTATTTTTAATAGTAAAAGCACTTGACTTAAAGTCATTTTGTTAGATGCTGATGTATAAGAACTCCTCAACTTAATCTCTGAACAAATTCAACATTATAAGCAATAACTAACATTCAGTAGGACTTTACCCCCAAAGTTGTGTTCCCATGATAGGAAACCACACTTTATCATTTTAAAATGTGTTTGTGGGCATGGCTCAATGTAATGTTCAAATTTACCAGGAAATTACTATGTTATTACTACTTGTATTTAAATTTATCACAGAAATAGCCATATTGCTAAGCTGTTAAATCCATAGTGTCAGACACAATAGTCAAAATTAAAGAAAATACAATTTTAATTTGGAGATATTGTTTGCAAGGATGAAAATGCTAAGAGCACTTTCCATCCTTTAGCAGACTCAGAGCATGGACTTTAATCAAGCTTATACCTACCCATCACTGAACAAAAAGTAAGTAAACAAAAGGAACAAGAAGGAAATAGCTCCCTCTAATAAGATCAGGAATTCTGGAAGAGTTAAGGGCTTCACCATGCACTGATGGTCTGTGGTTTGGCTACAGTAGTCAGATGGCTATAGTGTGGACGGACCCACATGAGGTACCTGGGATCTTTCATTGAGCCATATGGATTTTATCATGACCCTTAATGAAAATGACTGTGTTCTAAACTAAGTAATCCATGCAAAAATACCCAGACGATTAATAACAAAAAAAAACAATTCAAATTAAATCATTCCCACAACAGGACCTTTGAAGAACTTGTAGTAACTGTTGGAAACCATTCCAAGACATCCTATCACATGTAAATACATTTAAATAACCTTGCATGGAGAATAGTCTTACATTCATCTGCCTACATGATAGCAAATCTGTCTGTTCTGCAGACTTTATAAGACATAGGTAAAGTAGTGTTGAGGAATTCATAGAGAAGAGCTTTCCAGGAGCTAGTTGTGGACTGCACTCTGCAACTGTGGCATCCCGGCTGCCAGTTCCTACCATTCTGAGCATCAGCTTGAAAAGCAACAAATGGAGTTTGTTTTCCAATGTACTTTAAACTCTTAAAATGCACTTGTACTGAATTGCAGTGTATTCCAATACAAAGCTAAAAATATGAATATATTCTATTTTGTTTCTATTAGCTACCTTAATGACTTAGATAGAATCACAGCCCCTGGGTACGTGCCAAATGAGCAAGATGTTCTACATTCCCGAGTGAAAACGACTGGTATCATTGAAACTCAATTCTCCTTTAAAGACTTGAACTTCAGGTATGAACAAACATGTCTTCAAAGTGTGGATGGAGCAAACTTCCAGCTCAGTACTTTTTCATGGAGAACTCTGTAACCCAAAGTCAAGTGCAATGATTTTGGCTAGACCTCCTTAACTGACATTACACCACCCTTCTGTCCTGCACTCCTCCAGTTCACTCCAAACCTGTCGTTCCTTCTAGGCTGCATCTCTCAAACAAGTGGTATCCAGATTCTGTTTCTAATACTTAAAAATGACATTTTACATTGAGTTTTATTTTAAGGAAATATATTTAAATAGCCTTTTAGCAACAGGTGTTAGGGATACTATTTCACTTACCCTTACTTCCCTATTTGTTTGAAATATTCCTTAAATCGACCTTTGTTTAAAATGCAAATAATTAAAATATCATTATTTGAATGTAATGCTATTTGGAAGAATCACAAGGACTTTTCATCAGCCTGTTTTTGGCATGGAAATGCATCCCTATTTTACTGCTATTGCATTGAATGCCCTTTCAAGTAAACCTTTGAAATTCTACTATCAAATTACTCTTTGAATATATTAAGAAATGGAAATCATAATACAATGTCAGATAGCATCTCTTGGTTCTTAATAGCTTTCACATTTTCCATCCTGAGATAGGACAGTATATTTGTTCATATTTATACAAAGCTTTGTACTATTTTCTATGGATTTGGGGATAAGATAGAATATTAATAATACTAGATTCCAACTAAATATGTTAGTAATGAAAAATTGCTAAAACTACATAATAAATAAGGTCCGCTATGCCCCAAATAATGGAAATGTACTTAAAGGATTAAAAAGAAAAAAAAAAAAACCCTGGAGAACAGCTGATATGGATTGTTTATAGCCAATTATGAGAAAAAAGTAACTAAATGCTAATTAGCTAGTATCCTAAACTCAGTTTAAGGGTAACAAAAGTTTTGAAATGCTATAAAATGTCAAAGTTGGTTTTTACGAGCTAGCTAATTAGAACAGCTATTAGAATATTTTCAAGTGATATGAAAGTAATATCTTCCAAATCTGTACTAAATTTCCGGCCTACAAATAGTTAATTTTCTGCAATTAATGAATTCATTGGCCATATATCGGAGCAGGGTAAAGGGACAGCAGAGAATGCAGTCCCACTCCCTGGGCAAACTCGCTGAAAGTGTCCCCTTAGACCTTGCTCTGTTTTGTGGAGCCAGATGATCTTTGCCCTAGTTTCTGGAGTTTCCTTTGGGAGCCAAGTCCAAAGCTGCTCACTCTGTCTCCCTCTGCTTGCCAGGACCTTTTCCACACACTCCCTGCTCTGTCTTGCTGTCTTTCTCTCCAAATTCCTACTGCACAGACTGGAACTGATGTGTCTGTGAGGCTCCCTGTTGGTTCTCCAGGAAACAGCAGCAGGCATTATGGATCTCTTAGCTAGCACACCTATGGTCAAGGTTGGATCAAGTTAAGAACCAGCAGAGAGTTAAGCATCTTGATGTTCCCTGTCTTACATAAGCCAGTGGAATTTTCTCAGCCCCAGGTCATCTGAGTCACAGAGCAGTTGTGATGGTGAATGTCACCTGGTAGATATCCTCACCTCCCAGTGGTGTCATCCCCAACTCCACACCGACCCTCTTTAACGTCCACTCAGCAATAAGCTTATTCTCTGGTTTTTACAATCCAGGCAATAATAGTTTTGCATTTGCTGTACTCTTTACTTAAAGTGTTTTGTTCCTTTTTATCATAAAGATTCCAAATTAAAAGATGTTTATGCCTCTGAGCCTTGGCTTATCTGTTTACTGTCTGTAAGTAGTTGTCTCATGACAACAGGCAACAGTGTCCTGGCACTGTTGAACAAGTGCTTTTCAATACTGTAGGGTGAGTGAAGAATGGAGAATAAGAGCTAATTTGTAGTTATTGATGATTTCTATGGAGTAAATGCCTCTACCCTGCCAGTTTCAAGCTACTAGCGTTACATTACACATTCAAAGTTAGGAGGAAATGCAAATAAACAGCTGTCTCCATCATGCCTTCATAATACCCTTCCATAATACTATACCAACCTACTTTCCTCTTTCTCCTTGTTCCCACACATGATTTCCTCGCTTCTCTTTTTCATTTCCCCTTTTTGTTTCTCATTTCTACTTCATGCACCCTCAACCTTAAAAAATCAGGGGCTACATATGATTATGATCTGCCACCAATGCTTACCAGAATGGTTCACAAGAGGAAGCAAATTGTCATCCGCTTTAGTTGAATGTACAAATATATCAAGTGAAGCACAATTTATACAGAATTGTTGCATGTGACATGGTAAGCTGGGTGATGCTGTATCTGATAAAGAATTGAGGAATGGAGGTTGGGGAAGAATCTCCAAATGGCTTACAAAGAAATGCTGAAGTTGTCATCAAACTGTACAGCATCCTGTTTATAAAAAGTGCATATTTCCACAATGTCATTGATGGGCTCTTAGGCACATTTGTATGAAAAGCATTCTTTTCTTGTAAAACAATTATTGTATAAAGACGGTCTTCTTTTATATCCCCTTTCATAGAAAAATGGTATGAGAGAAAAATAAATCACAGCTTGTTGGAGAGATAACAAATTACTTAAATATTTGAAGAATTTTGAAGTTTATTCACATCAATTGAGATATAATAACTATTTAATAAGTTCCCAAAGTTTAACTTTCAAACTTCCCTTCAGCAATTGCCCGGGTGTTAAAATACATTCCATTAGCATTGATTTGTATTCACATAGCACAAATCATCCTAAGACTATTTAAAACTAAAGAGTTAATTTACATATTAAAATAGAGAACTCTAGAATTTTAAATAGGAATATCAAAATGAAAAGCTCTGTCTGCCAAAGTACTGTATCATTTCCATGCATCATCTAATTTAATGAAAATTAGCCTAGAGTTCTTATCAAGCCAGAGTACCAACTGTCAAGCTGATAGAAGAACTTATCTTAAGAGTTCTTATCAAACTGGAGTTCCCACTATCAAGCTCACCAAGATGTTTACAGATTTTCAAGTTGCTAAGTCACTGGAAATTAGAATGCAAATCTAAGCCCTTATGTTGTGGAGTAATTCTCCAGACTTAAGTGATTTAGAAATAAATCAAAAATGAGTTATCAATTGTAGAAAAGTCATTTAAGTCTCCTTAAACGTCCCACAATTAAACTATAGAATTGAAAGCATGGTGCAAAGGAGCCAGAAAGGCTTGAAACTATTTCAACATAGAGCTTAAAATTTGTAAATTTGACATAATTGCTTTCAAGAATGTTTGAGCATATCTGTGATTTGAAAAAAAAAAAAGACAGTTTTCTTAAAATATGAAGTTGAATTTTATTCACTGTGTTCATTTCCAAGAGTATGAGTCACCAGGATTAGCTATGAGGCTGCTTGTGTAGCCAGGAGCTGCATCCCAGTTTAGATTTGTTATTCTGTATTAAAACTCAGAGAACATTAATCCACATATGCTGAATATTTGTTACATATGTGGTTGTGGTTAACATTACCAGAATAATATATGATCTATTTTGATTATTTGTTTGCTTTGCAGAGCTGAGCATAAAACCTAGGAATGTCAACACTCTAGGCAGGTTCCTCTAACTGATCAGCTGTGCACCTAACCCTTGATTTTGAGACAATGTCTTGATACATAGCGTTAGGCTGGCCTTGAATTCATTATGTAGCCTATGTTAGCTTCAAACTTGCCACCTTTCTGCATCCTCCTCCTAAGTTCTCAGACTGTGTGTATGTACCAACAAACATAGCCTAGAATTTATTTAATGACTCTATGATTATAAATTATATGACAAATATTTTTCTATTTTTCTTTTATTGAAAATAGTTTTTCATACAATGTGTGATAAACGTGATAAATGGCATTTGTAATTATGGTAGTTTTCAGAATTGATGCACTTATACTTCTAAATATTTTTGATTATATTTTAATGTCAAGAGTAATTACGATCCAACCCCCTCCCCCTGTATCAAGGCTGTACAAGGTGTCCCATCATAGGCAGTGGGCTCCAATTAGCTAGCTCATGCACCAGGGATGGATCCTGATCCTACTGCCGGGGGGAGGGGGGGGGCTTAAGCAGATCAAACTACACAACTACCATGCTTGTGCAGAGGGCCTAGTCCAGTCCCAGGGAGGCTCCACAGCTTTTGGTCTAAAGCTTATGAGTTCCCACTAGTTTGGTGTGGTTGTCTCTGTAGGTTTCCCATTGTGATCTTGATGCCCCTTGCTCATAGAATCCTTTTTCTCTCTCTTCCACTGGAGGGGCTTGGACCTGCCTCTACTGAATGTACCAGGCTGTGTGGACTCCTCATGGGAGACCTTGCCTTGTTCGAGGAGGGGATGGGGAGAGGGGCAGGAGGAGGGAGGAGAGGAAAATCTGTTATTGGTATATAAAATGAATTTAAAAAAATACTTAATTAAAAAAGTAATTAAGGGATTTAGACATATCTCTGTACATGCACGCCTTTAGAGTCTGTTAACAGCTACTCTTCTCCATTTTTAAAACTTGGCTAGGGAAAGATGTTTGAGGTAATTTGACTGTGAGTGTATAATGGCACATGCTCGGCAACTCAAGTTCTCATATGTACCCATAGTAAGATATTAAACCAATTCTGACTAAGTCAGCATCTTGTACAAATATCATTTAACAGAATAGTTCAAAATAAAGTCCTACTCAGATTAGCATTTTTTTAAGGTGGCCAGAGAGTCGAAAAGGTTAGAAGTGGTGCTTGTTCAGAGATCCCCATGCCTTTAGGAGGAGCCGTGACATGTATCACAAATGAGCTGCAGAAGCATGGCTGATAATTAGCTCTCCTAGTTTACATAATGATTTTTCAGTAATTGAAATAGTCAAATTATTCATACTAACCTATTATAATATAAAGCATAAGTACTTTCATGTGGTCAAATAGTTAGTCAGCTACTTGACATAAACCCATAAAATTCAACAGCCTTCCAAAATGATTAAGTAGAACCTTAAAACTCAACTGTTC